GTTTAACTAATTTTTAACGTTATATTCATCATGTTAATCATAGTATTCCGTAAATAGAATGATACTTCTTTACAATCATTATATTGTATAACGAGAAAATATAAAATAAATATAAAGATACTAGATTAATTTAGATAAAACATATAATACACAAAAACATATACGAAAAAAAAAGGAAGAAAAATATATAAATAAAGGAAGAAAAAATACGGATAAATAAATATATCGAAGAAAATATATAAAATTTAGAAGTAAATCAGGTAATTTACGAAATAATAACAACTAAAATTAATTATTTCGTACAATCTAAAATACAGAGCATTTATGTACATTATGTACAATACAATGTCACAATAAAGTGTGTTATTATTATATTTATTTATATTAACACTTTACCGACCGCTAGCGCTGCAACGGCATACGTACTTCCGACCGGCCGCTCAGCCGCAGATTCTCCCTGACGCCGGCTCTGTTTTGGCTTAGACTGTCGCATGGGAGCATCTGTGCGTTTCGTATGCTCAGATAAATTTGTAAAAAAAAACTGATACTAAGGACATAAAACAGTCCTCCACTTGACTTGGAACATTGCGGTCCTAGGGCCGCAACAATGTGGGAGCTTACAAAGCAACGCAACTAACGCAACTAACGCAACTAACGCAACTGAGCAACGTACCAAAAAGCCTAAAAATAGGCTATCGGTCGGTAAGCATCGGCGATCAAAAGCCTATTAATAGGCTATCGGTCGGTGAGCATCGGCGACTAAAAGCCTATTAATAGGTCTCCGGTCGGTAAAGTGTTAAGTTTCTACCTATGGTATAGTAAAGTTTTTCACTAATTACAAATATTTTAAATCGAGTAATACAATTTACTTCCCATTTCTATTTAAATAAAGTGATTTGGAACATGTTTATCATCTAGAAATGGTAAGGTGGAAAGGAAAAATTAAAAATATTTATTTAGAAAAACTAAGGCTTTATAGTATATTTGAAAGAAGATAAGCAAAAAGGGATGGAACGAGACTTTAACTTTCATATTTTGAAGATTATTTCTGAATTTGTAATTACTGAATATATTTCATTAAACAACAATTAAATATAAAAAAGAAATACATATTGTCACAGGAAATAAAAATGAAAATTATAATTAATATTTTTAATTATAATGAAAATGAAATAAAAAAGGCTTAAAGTGCCAAACTTTGCCAAAGTGTCATTTACTAACAAAATATAATGAAACTTATTCATTATATGTACCATGTTACTCCATATGACTTTACAATATCTTTAATTAGATATTTTGAAATTTTCTCAATTAATAGCACAATAACTTCTATATTCAAATAAAAATTGTGAATTCATTATGTAATTTACTAGAAAGAAATAAACCAGAGATAAAAAATAACAATTTTAAAGATTTGATCAGGAAAAGTCAGTGATAAAATGTTTATCTTTATTCATAAAGGAATTTTCACCTATTTTAATTAGGAATAACCATTAAAAGTGATTATAAATCTTTTTCATTGCAAATAATTATCAGCCCAGAATTTTATTTTAGTTATCAGTAATCAATATCGATAGGCAACATCTATTTACGCTATTTTTAGTTATTGTCAATTTTCATTAACATGATGGATTTAGTATCGTAAACATAAAATTAATCATAGCATATGTTGAGCAACAAAAAATATGGATGTTTATAAAGAAAGAAGTAAAATAAAGGATACTCTGCTTTGATATTTTTATATTTACAATATCCTAAATAAAATCCTGACCATAATAATGATTATATATAACTAAAAACAATATTCATTATGCCCAAAAACGATTTCTGTTATTCACAATGATTATCGATAATAAAAAAGAAACTTTTAATTATTTATAATTGTTCAGAACTAATTGAATCTAAAATAAGAATATAATTGCTACAATATAACTTTTTTTTTCATTTTTATTATAACAGTTACAATCACTGAAATGAACTCTTGGCTTGTCTTAATTGAAGACAAAATGTAATGGTAAGCACATTGAATTCGCTGACATATTCAGCCTAATTTAGAAAACTGGTAGTGTAACATACAATGCATACCAGATACAAAATGCTAAAAACTGTATTAATTATTCTGATACACACTTTTCTCCTTATCTATCAACATTGATACTTATGTATATAAACATTAATTTTATGGAAAAAAATATTTAATACTTGATAGAGAAAACTCCATATTGATTACTACATGCTATGTAAAAGAGATATGAAATATTATGTACCTTGTCTAATATAATTATAAGAAAAAGATAAAATAAAATACTTCACGAATTATCAACACATATATGCGTGTCATGTAATTGGAGAGCTTTACACGTGCATAGTGTAGAGCAGATAATATAACCATCAAGGAATAATAAGATATATGAAATGAAAAGAATAAGAAATAATGAATAATTGATAAGAGCTAAACAAAAAAAACTACATTTCTATAAGATGTTTAGTTTTTATACAAAATAAAGTTACAGATTCATCTAATATACATGTATTTAACTACTTCTACACTTTATGTTTGTACTAATGATTAATGTAAATATCAAAAATGTATTAATAATGTATTTATTAAGGTTTTTATCGATATGCATTTCCAAATGAATTAACAAAAAATGTTAACATATATAAATCCTTGCCTTACAAATTATATTGGTGCCATAATGTTTAATTATGATAACTATTTGAAAGACTATATAACTTTTTCATTCTGCAAAGAAATCATACTTCTTTCTGCAATAATTATTCCTTTCATTTTATAATGAATCATTGATCTATCATGTGAATCAAAGTTCAGCTTATTCAATAATGATACCTACAACAATTTATAGCAAATCTATCAATTGAAGAAGTAGTCAAATATACATATACTAGATAAATCATTAAATTAAATTTTCTTCGAAACTAAAATCTCTACAAAAAAATTATATTCCATATTCTTAATTAATCTTCTCATAATGATTCGTTATTTGCCTAGGTTTCTATCTTTACATGACAATAAAAACCACATCATCTAAGAATTTTTATACAACAAATAAATACTATCATTATTAGGAATTTATGATATCATAAATAAACTAAAAGAATTAGGTGGGGATTATTAGAAATGTCTAAATTTATATTATAGTCAGTTAAAAATAAATAACTATTATGTATTATACCATATTGCATATTTTCTTTCTGATATAAATTTATATTCTCGCTCATAATCTTAAGAGTATAGGGTATAGAATTCAAGAATCCTCAATATGCACTGTTGGTAATATCCAAGAAAATGAAACCCTAAGACATATATTATATGTCTGCTTATTATAGCTCAGTCCTAGATCCCACTATTACAAAGAAATTCTATTTTCTAGTTTTTGTATTGTTTCAGATACCAAAAAAGTCAAAATTCTATATTTTCTTATAACTAAGCTACTGAAACTACATTATTTCCGAAACACAATGAGGATTATTTTTTCTTGTTGGTACTTTTTTATAGTACTATAAGATTTATCTACAAATTTTCTTTCAAAGTTTATTCAAATTTTATGAATTTTTATAGAAGTCTTACATTTATGTCCATATCTAATTGTATTAAAACTAGAATACTCTTCTCAGTCATTTATAAGTTAATCCAGCACGTAAATAAATATATATACTACTATTATTGTATTTATATTCTTGTTTGTTTAATATATGTAAGGTAATGCTGAGAAATAACTTTTTTATTTTTAAGGCAAGCAATTTTTCAATTACAGAAATACAAGATATTTAAATAAGTCTATATCCAATAGGGAATTAAAATTATAATAATTTGTACATAAATAAAATGAATGTATGTATATAAAAGCAAGTTTGTTTTAAAACCAGCTTTAATCAATTACTTAACAGGTCTGATAAATTTCATATAACAGGAAATATTAAAAGATAAGGAAAATAGAAAAGACAAGGAAAAGATAAGAAAGATAGATTTTACGTGTATATATACAAGATTTACCTTAAACAAAACCTAACTAAAAGGAATTACAATTACATGTATACATGATTATAAAATTATATACATTGCTGATATAGATTGAAATAATCTGTAAAATTTATGAATAATTGGCATTGTCAAATTCTATCATAGTCAAAGAATTTATATATAATTGCAAGAGAAAACACAAGATTTCTACGTTGAAATTTCAGGTTAATACTAAATGCTAATAATATACTACAGATTAATTACAACTGTTAGACTATAATATGTATGCTATTAACTTTGTTATTAATTATGAGAAATAAAACAATGAAATTACAATAAAAATCTATTATGCAAATAGTTTAAACCTTATTTCCTAGAACTATTTCAAAGATGATACTGATATACATAAACAATGGAATTTGTAAATAGATAATACACAAAAACAAATAGACAAAAAGTAATTTAATATGCTATAATAACAATAACATAAACAGTTATTAATAATAAAAATTACGTGATTAAATAAACATTAAACATACATTCCTAATAAATGAATATCTGCGATTAATATAACTTTCTTCAATTTTATTGTATTATTTATAATGTTATTAAACATTATGTTTCATTTAAAGAACTATTGAACAAGTTATTACACCACATTTGCATGTATTTGAGGTTAAACATTATTACAAATGTTGTACAATACAATTATAAGAATTCAAATACATGTAATTAAACAAATTATTTGATCATGTTAAATGTTCTAATTTCACTCTTATAAGAATCCTATCATATTTATAATGCATGAATAAGTTATTGAGGAAAGAATATTTTATAAATGTATTAATAAAAAAAACTAAATTGTTACAAGATTTTATAAATGTAACACTGAATTTTATTATTTGCATATACCAAATGAACGAATAATTTATATGCATCAATAATTTTATTTACTTGACGTAATTTTATTTTATTTTACTAATTTCATATATTATTAAAAATATATTGTATTTACCGTCTGCTTATCCATCAAAAGAACTTTCATACCAGGACCACTTTCTTCTGTCATCCGGGTAATATAAAATTTTAAAGCAATTATTAAATTCATTTTATCTTAATTTTTTTAACTTTCTACAACTATTGATTACATCTTATAAATTTGATAATAATAATACATTTAATCTGCAGATATTACAAAATATACAAAATACACACTTCATAAATGTAAACACCACCTTTCGAACAATTTGTATACCTACATTACTATTATCAATAGTTCGGAAATGAACTTTAAGTCATATATAGTATGATTAAGAGATACGAGCGACATAAGAAGTAAGTGCTCTAATTCGATTGGTTGATTCCATTTTTTCTTATACTATGATTTCCAAAAATAATCATTAAATAACTTTTTACTCTTAAGTTTTAAATAAGTGAATATAACAAATTATTGTAATGTATTCATAATATAAAATAAATTTCATATGTGTAAAATATTTAAATCGTTATAGAATAATTACTGTAGTTGAATGATTCTCAAGAAATAATATATTTTCAAATAGTTTGATGTCTCAATCATTTTTACTACATAATTTAATACAATCTTTAATTTCAGATTTCTCACATACTATATACATAAAAAATGTAAGATATAAATATGCAACTTCATATTACTTTATCTATGGTATAAGAAACTTCAAATTTTAATGTGGAATGTATTAATCACTAATTAAAATAAATGCAAATAAACGTGTACTTTGCAACATAAGTATAAAAAAATTATATATTAATTTGTGAATTTTAATTTAAATTAAGTGAATTTATTATTGTACAAAGTGTTATCTGTATTATATTATATTTTACATTATTGACTTTACTATATTTTATAAAATATTACAGAATGATATTTTTTTATGATAATATAACAAAATGTTAGGGAATATTTGGGTTAAATAATACTAAGATGTGAGTTATTTAACTCAATTTCTAACAACTAATTGTTTTTTAATTCGTTAATCACTCAACTTTGATATTCCCTATAAAAATATATTGGACTTCTTACGTTAAATATGTCTTACATATTAGTTAATAGTAATTAATTAATTTGAATTTGGAGATTCTTTTAAAATATACCCATTTAATAACTAGGTAATAAAAGTGACTTTCTAATTATAAATTATATGAGATAAATATAATAAACTTGGATTAAAACTGTTAAATACAATAATATCGACATTTTTTGTGGACATATTTAAAAAGCAAAGCGTATTGAAGAAAATATACTACTTTAAATGACATTTAAGATTTCTTAAAAAATTTAAATGAGTTTCTAAAAAATTTTTTTTAATTTTTCAAAGAAATTTTAGATCATTTAATGATATACATTTGTCGATTCACACTGGGAGATCAATTTCAATACTGAAGTTGAAATATTTCCTAAACTACTAGGTTTGCAAAATACTAATATCAATTATACAAGTATAATAATAAATCAAGTTACTATAGTGTTATTGTTTTATGTGTTCAACTATACAATGGATATATTAAGCTTTTTCATTGTTGAAAGTATTCTAATATAATCATTTTTCTAGGTTCTAATAACTTGTAATACATATTATAGCCATTAGACTAGAATACCTTTATTAGACCAGTATCTTTTTTACATATTAATGTATGATATCCATTTTTTATCCTCAATTTGTTTATTTTTGAGTACAATATAATTTATTTTAGTAATAGATTTTTTTTTTTTATTGGGATACAATAAAATATAAATAATAATTTTGTCAATAAGTATGCTGTGCTGGTAATTTATGTGGTACCCAACATTTAACTTTAAGATTTACGTTTGAAATAAATTATTGAGCTTGTGTATATCACTTAACATCATATTGTGGTTTACATTAATTTTCTTTGTTGTTTCTTGAAATATTTGTTATGAATTTGTCGTAATAGCTTTTTCCAAAAATACTATCAATCAATACCAAACTACAACATTAAAGCTTATCTTGAAATTTAATAGCTCCACTATAAAATTTCAAAAATCAATGTTGGTCATGTATGTTTATTCACAATATTTCGTTTCAAAATATTACGAGTATGTCAAAGTTGCTTGGTCTATATTGTCTTCTGACAAGTTCAAAACCTTTTTTAAACATACATAATTTACCATAATAATATAATCATAACAAAATAATTTTATTGTAAAGAATATTAAAATATATATGTAATATATATATATAATATTAATATTAGCTACGTAAAACTGTTTAGCTTAGGTCGAAAACTAATATTACTGTCCCATTAATTCAGTACCGTTAGAAGGTTTTCTTAACATAAATAGCTCAATATCTCATTATAGTTAATAATAAAGTGAATTTATACACTCTGGGTGTATGCATGAGTACATGTGTAATATTAATTGTATTTAAAAAATATAAATTAGTTGTAATTTATTCAAAAAAACAGGTTAATATAATTTAATAATAAAGTTACAATATTTAAATATTTATAAATTCAAAGTAATGTATTATAAAAAATAAACTCAATAAAGCACCCAAAGAAAAAAATTTTTAATTAGAAAAAATAAATACAAAATGTTTGCAGAAAATATTTTATTTCCTTTATTATATATTTATATAAGGCAGTTATGTAAAAACATATATGTAAAAAGTTATTTTATAAAACTATATTGAAACTCATAAGTTCAACACTTTCATCGCTAAAACTTTTAAAACTTAAAAAATAAATTCACTAAAGTTAGGTTGTCCTATAAAAAAAAATATAAGTTAATTTTCAAATAAAAAGTCTTTCAGTCACTTATATACACAAACTAAAGTTGAAAAAATAATTTATAATGGTATAATAGAAGCACTATTTTTAATTGTTTCCATTCTTTACTACCTTTCATTAGAGAATTGTTTAATTTACGAAAATATATTTACAATGAAGAATCTGAAGAAGAAAGCTGGATCATTTTTATTAAGATTCTTCTTTTTTTCTTTTTTTATCTGTCAGTCAATTTAATCAATTATGCTGGTATTACTATTAAATAGTAATAATAATTATTACTGTATCTTTATGTGAAAGCAATGTTTTCCATTACATTTTGTTCTATAAAATAATCGGTAGTTTAAAGTCAATCTTTGGAAATTCAAAACTTTTAATAATTTTATTGATTTTAAAATTATAAATTCTTATGAATGCATTCTTGATGAATGAATTATTTCTTAATACCTCTTATAAACTGGTCTCTTACAGTCATTAAAATGTATTTATTTCAAACTTTTAAATTATGGTAGAAATTATTGACATGATTACATTATAGAAACGCTATCATAAATTGTTATACTTATGAAGTGGAATTTTTAATGCCGCTAAGTATTTGCAAACACTGATTAAATTTACTTTTAAAGCTGTTTAAAAGTAATTTATATCTTATAGATTTTAATCCATAATGAATTAAACTAAACCTTCTTTGATCACTACATAAGTTCAAAAATTAAAAAATTTGAAATTCTGTATAATATTTAGCACCAATGAATAATTTTACTTCTTAAAAAGTATTTTTGTGGAGTTACAAATTTATTTAATGTACTTTAGAGGTGATTAAATCAAAATAGAATTATAATATAATAGCTACATATGCATGTATATAAAATGCAAATAATTTTATATGTTTTACTATAGTAACTTGAAACTGAATTAAATGTTTTTAAAGTATAAAAATTTCCTGCAATTTAAATTAGTCGAAAAATACCCAGGTAAGTTAATATTTATGTTAAAATGATATAATTTGAGTATTTTCTGGTTTATATTAACAGATATAATGATAGTAATATTGTCAGATTTATTTTCTATTGATATCCATTATTTCAATATTCATATCCAATTTTATTATTAATGACAATTTAAATATTAAAAAATTTAGTTATTTTCAAACATATGTAATGAAATTTATAAAATATATAACATGATTAAGTAACCGCATTCAACCATGAAATACGATTTTATGTTGCATGCAATCTATGTTGTTATGTTTCATTATATCATATTATCTACTTATACAGTATCTTACAATATGTAGTAAAAGGCAATTATTGCAATATTAATTATCTTACACGGTATAAAGTGTAATTTTTTATATTATTCTAAGTAGTTAAAATACTACTTATTTATATTAAGTACTGTCATTTTTTCATATTAACAAAAACTATATTTTTTATTATCTATTATGCGAAAAATTTTATATATTTTATACACTATTTAAAATGTTATTTAAGATAACTTCTGTCTTTGCAGAAATATATATATTAAATAAAATATATAATTTTAATGTTAAATCATATATAGTACATAATAAATAGTTTAAAAAAATTGCAATAAAAACACTATTTAATTTAAAGGAATAAGAGATATTGCATTGCTAATATCTCACAAGTGAAAATATAATTTTCATTGTAAAAATATAAAAAGTAAACCTTTTTGAAATATTATTGACACCATTTATTTTAATAATTAGCAATAGTCTCGTAATCGTCAAAATATTAATAATTAATATAATTTCAGTAATCTTTGTAATCTAATTTTCTAGAAAAAGAAAATTAAATATACATTTTTATTCATGATGTTTAAATATACAATTACTATGAATTAAATTTTATTTTATATCACTGAAGTTTAGTATTTTATAGATTCGAAAATATACGTGCAAAAATAATAGCAAGTCAAGTTTACCTTCTATGTACAGTATATAAACATAGACTAGAGGAAGAAAAACTCACTTCATTTTTGCTAGTCAATTTCCGAACATAATGTATTATTATAGCAACTGTTGGTAGTTTCAAAAAAGTGTAGTGATATTTGATCATCTATCTTTATTGTTACCTTGTCAGTGGTTTTATATCGTAATGTTATACATGATTTTTATTAAACTGTAGAGTTAAGTTTGGAAGTTTTGTGCATTTTAGTTTTTCAGAAATGAATTAAAGTAGTTAATATTTTGAAGTATTTAAAAAGAATCTAATGTCATTTTTTATTAGTTCTTGTGTTTGTGAATACACATCAATACTGTGTAACATTATAAACAGTTCGTGTTACTCGATGCAATTTTGATACATTATAGCAAGAATTGTAATACTTTATTATAAATGTGAGTATATGTCATTGTGCTTATATTATTTCAATGAATTATATAAAAATAGTATATGTAATGTTATTATTAACTCTCAAACTATCTAAATTGTTTTTATTGTTTTCCAATTAAATGTTAACTTTCTTTAAGTACACGTTTTTATATTTCTTTTGTTATTGAATAAGGTTGTGTTTTGTACATAGAAATGTGTGCAAAGAAGTACGAATGAGATATTTTCTTCTAAGGATTTAAATATTTAAATTTATAAAAAGTTTATTATTACTACTGAATTAAAAAGAAATTGCATTACCGTCATTAAGATAACGAAGTATATTTATTTCGGATATTTTGTGGTTAGATTTGCTATCATGTTTCCAAGCATGTATTGACAATCATTTACATATGTAAAATAAAAACATTGGTAAGATATAATTTCAAATTTTATAAGAAAAATGAATATATTAACAATTTATGGTTAATTTTTAATTATAATTTAGGTAACATGTATATTCTATTTATGTAGAAGATATATTACAAGTATATTGAAAAGTAGAAGAAGAAATAATGTAAATAAATTAAGAAAATTATTAACAAATATTACACGCTTAAAAATTGAAAGTTTTGTCTTGGTATAATTAAATGTACTATATTAGTTTTAATTTTTTATACAAATTTAATATTATTAGCTGTTTTTAGGTTTCTTTAGGTTTCTTATAAATAAATAGTATATGTTATTAATATCTAAAATAACACAATGTTATTCTTGAGTACATCAAGAGTATGATTCAACATTGTTTATGAATGAAGTCCTATGTTACATTCTTTAAACGTTTTGAAGTACAAAATTAATTTAATTAAATTTATTTATGATTACCTTACAGATTCGATTATATTACATAGATATGGAACTTTTAAATTAATTCTGTGAATTGATTCTTAATACAATAAGTTATTATTGTTGATATATAGTATAATTATTACATAATCTAATTATGTTTTGATATATTTGTACGAAGAAGAAGAAAAATGTTAAAGATTTTATTAAAAAATATATCATTTTTATAATTGATTAGTTCTATCCAAAACGAGAAATCTTATTTCTTTAGGTCTAGTAGTAAGAGAATAATAAGAGAATTTTTTAAATATATTTTGTTCCATTTTACAAATGTAAGTAAAAAGATTTTTTTGAGTATTTAATTTATGAAAAACTTGTAAATTATATTTAGTACTACATGAATAGAGTTAAACATAATATACCAATGTTCTTATATCACATATATTTTTATTTATATTTTATATTTTACATTTTTTAATATCACGAAATTAGATGTCTTTTATCGTAGTTTGACAGTGCCATTTGTTTTAAAATATAAATATTTATGGTAACTAAAATAAAATTAAGGTTATCTATATATTTTAGAGTTTTCAAAGCTTAAAAAGTGTTATTGTTATTATGTATATCTTTTGCCAAGTAACAAAAATTTTATTATTTCTAAGGTTTTGGTTTTATTTCTTAATGTAAAATGTAATATTTCATAATGATACTAATATTCCATTTACCTTTTTACAGAAATGGTTTTTCATAAAATGGTCTTTAAGTTTGAGTAATGTAATAATTTCATATCACTTTTTGATACGTATATTATTCAATGGAATTTGTATAAAATAGGTTCGGGCAATATTTGTTGTCTGATTGTAATGGAAATTTATATAATAATATTTGTAAGGTCATATATTGAGCCTAAGTTTTTTTACAAAAATATTTTATTACATGTTTGAATTATTCTTTTGCCCCAATATAATTTGTTAAAGCATATGGTTTACCTTTAGTATATCTTTTCTACAAATTTGTATTTACGTAGTTATAATCTTTAATTCAGTCAATTAATGTCATCTTTACTTTACATAAAGTTTTGATATACTCTGTATATCTAAGTTTCTATTTCGATAGTATTAAGCTCTTAAAAGTAAAGAAATATTTGTGAAATTCATAACATCTCTATTGATATTTGATGTTTATTGTTTTGTTATTGATTATTTTTTTCTAATTAGTTTTACTACTCTTGTGGGTTTTGCGATTTTTGTATTATAAAAATTATCTTCTATAACAAATGACAAAAATAGGTATATCTTCTAAAAGTTCTATGATTATTATTGAAATTCCACGACTGTTATTAAATATCAAATAAGAAGCATATTTTCCAAAAATCTAGAAATTTCTTATATTTTATGAAGTTATCGTAAACTTGACTTTTTGATAAAGGCTAAAAAGCAAACATTTCTTAAGTAAATCATAGTTGTTTGAGTATTTTTGTGACGTCTCAAAGATGTATAATGACAATAACACTTTGTTATAGTACATTAGCTATCTATATGGAAATTAATTACGATATTGTATCTCTAAAATGACTTTTTATACAAAAATTTAAATTAATTATCATAAAATATAAAAGTCATTTCATTTAAGAAGAACAGATGGAATGCTTTTTACATTATTTTGATGCATCAATAACAGTATACTATTTATCTTGTAAAAGCGATCACACGTTAAAAGAATTATTATATTTCTATTTGCGTAGAATATTTTAATAATGAAAAAAATGTGGAATTTTTGTTTTGAAACAGTATATTTGTCAATTATGCATTTGAATGAATTACTATTTTTAAAAGTGTTCTAATCCATGAGAAAAGTTTCCTTCTTGGATAATTGTCTCATAAGAGATATTAACAGTGAAACAAAGGCTAAAAAGACAAAAGATATTTTACACGTTTTGTTTTGAAAATATACATTTTTTTTAACTGAATGCATTAAAGCATAAAATCTGTTATAAAAAATAAACATATAACACGATAATTATTTATTTATAAGTATTGCAAGTACTTCACGTATATTTGTTTGAATGCATTTTTTAAAATATTTTTTTACATATAATACAGTATTCTATAGTTTTAGTAATTATCAAATATACATTCATAGATGTATGCAGGGTAAATAAATTCTTTAAAAATAAAATTAAGCTACATACATTTAATAAGGAAGTTAGTTCAGCGGCAATTTTTCATTCTTTCACAACAATGTCCTTTATAATGCAGTTGTCATATCATTTCTGCAATAGATATAGGAATTTCATTTTGTTATAACGTAGATAAGATAAATAGTTAAATTTTTTGAATTATAAATTTTTTTAATAATATTTAAGTAAGGATTCATGTAAAGCATTTTGCTATTCAAACCTTGGTATATTTGTAGTTTGTTGAAGTATGGATTAGTTAACTCTTAATAATGTTTTTTAAATTTTTAATTAATTTTGTAAAATATATGATTATACGAAATGTGAATAATCGAATGTTAATCGATGCGCGTATTTTTTGAGAATGTAGATTTTGAAAATTCATTAGATACGGCTGTATAAGAATTGACTACCATGTTATGATATTAATACTATTTTTATCTATATTTGTTTTTGTTCCTGATAATAAAATGGTTTAAAAGTGTAATAACTTTTCACGTGTTAATTATTGTTATTATTACAAATACAATCGGTTATATTTTCTTCATTGTAGTAAATAATTATGTATAAACAAACAATTCAATTTACATTATAAGAGAAATAAGTGGGGGTGTGGTAGAACTCGAAAATATCAGGAACCCGATGGTCGGGACTCGACCCGTTCCGGCTACCATTACTCTAAATAGTTCGTAATGGTGCATGATAGCGTAAAAAATATGTAAATACGCAGTCAGACGTTTGTTTAGAAGACATTGCGAAAGTTTGAATGCATCGATCGAAACGAATATAAAAGGTTAGCGGGTTCTCAGAATTTTCGGAAATTTCGACTCTTTCGGGAATCCTGATGAATCGTAGAATCTGGAAATTTTCAGTTATCTGTCTTGATGCTGAAAGAATTTCCTCTTTCCTACCCGACTAGATATTTCAGATTCTCACTCATCCCTAGAAACGAGTTACATCGTTTGTAATCTATAAACAATAGGCACTTTAAAGAAATAGAATAACCTATGGTGGTACCGAGAGCAACCGCGTTTGATTCAACAAGCGTATCACGATTAAAAAGAAATATAGCGTTTCATTTAAAAGAACATTTAAGGGCATTAAAATAAAAGGCATTGGAATTGTTTCTACCCTCCACTTGCAGGAAAGCTATACCATACAATGTTTCTTCAATTAGTTCTACTACCTCTGTTAAATCTCTTTATAATCGGTAAAGAGATCACGCTAATGGAATACTTTTGTGACTTGCATGACTTATACTGAAGTATATAAAATATTATCCGTGTTGAAGTAGTGGTGCTTATTTGGTTCTTTGAATTTGGTTAGTTTTCCTTATTTTAGGCTGATTTGCTTAATGATTTATTTCTGTTTGAAACTGTGTAATATCGTCACAGTGTAATATTCAGATTTTACGTATAAGAAAGTCGTGCAATGTGACATAATAGTTTAACCAATGCGTTTATATATTACGAAATAAACGAAAGATATGGGATGAAATTTTTCGATTGGAAGTTGTTTTTAAGTAAAATGTGGGGCGTTCGTGAATCTGTCGAAGTGGACAATAGCTTGTTTCAGATGCAGGACAGTTTATGACTCAGTTCAGATGTGTATTGTATTTTATGGGGAATTTTACATTGTGAATTAGTATGCATCGGTGTGATATGTGTATTAGTAACTTCATACGGTATTTATCTCGACGATAAAAAGTTGCGCTACTTCTGGCTCATTTAAACGATTTCTACACGAGTCTCTCAAGTGGCATAGATTTTTCAATTGTACTCTTCATGGCTCACGAGAAGTCTGTCGGTACAGTACCGGGGCAAGAAGGATTCTTCACTCGTTCCGCTTGTCTTCACTTTTCATACTCCTCTAGCTCCACCGTATTCAGCTTTTCCACGTCACATAGAATTCTAACATCGGATTCGAACATTTGCAAAAGTGTTTAGTTCCCTGATTTACGTTATTGTATAACGTAACACTATACGATACACGCGAAATCGCGAGAAA